AAATATTAATGAAATTAATATTAAATGAACTCTTTGACACTTCAGCTTTCTTCATTTTTCTTATATTTGAGTCCATAGAATTTAACATATTTACACTATTAAAAACAAGTTTTTCACCTGGTAGGACATTTATCTGATATATTTTTAATACATCATCTGCTATGTTTCAATTAATATATTTTCTTAGTTTTAGAACTTTAGCTATTTAGGCTGACAGTAAATCAGAGTTTTCTATATCTGTATCAGATTGTTACAAAGTCTCTAATATATTTGTAAGAGAAGTTAAGAAAAATTCTTTATCATTTGAATCACTATAAGCTATTTCTATTTCTATTTTACTGGTAATTTAAATCTATAAATACATTCAAAATGTGAGAAGATATTTTTATTGAAGTCTATATATTGGAAATGTACTACCTTATCCTTAAGAGTTTATAGCTGTTCATTTTTATCCCTTCTAGACCTTTTTGATGGTAATTAAAATTCATCTAAAACCTCTTCTAAATTTTCTATTTGTGTTTCAGATGATGATTTATAGAAATCTTTAACTCTCTGAATTTGAGATTCTTCTGATAACTTTACTAATTGAATACACCCTTTATCAAGCATATAATTAAGTTGAGATTACGAAGAAGTAAATAAAATTCATTTCTTCTGAGATTAGAAATCTCTAAGGAAACCTTTCCTTAGTAATAGGAAACCAATATCAAGAGAAATGAGATTTTTCAGTATCTAAATGTTAGTTTTCTTAGAAATAAAATGCGTAATAACTCTCATATCTTATTACGCAAAATAGGTTAAACTGTTTATTTTGAAAAAATAGTTTACTTCTTTCATGAATCCACTTAAAGTTTTTTTTCCAAAACTTGAATATTCTAAGCAACAAACCTGAACTTGCAGATTAATTATTGATATTCAGAACGTTTGTAGATATTTTACATTCTTAAATTCAAGTATGACTTTTAAATAAAAATGTAAGTACTATATATTATGATTTTAATTCACTATAAAAAGTTTAAGAATGCGAAGAAAA